CCCCAAAACCCCAAAACCCCAAAACCCCAAAACTGTGCGTAAACTTATAAGACTCTTTAATTCTGGGTTATCTCATGTCCCAAGTAGGATAGCCTTGGAGATCTTGAGTCTTCTCCTATAATTCAGTATATTGTTCTTACCAAAGTATGCTCTCACATTTCTGGGCTCAATCCGAAATCATCACTGGTGTCCCACCCAGTAATCTGTTCAGAGTTAGGATAATGATGCAATTTTATCCCTCTCTTCTTTTTTAAGTTGCTGATTTTTGAGGATCTCTGCTTCACCATTTTCGAGATTTTTGAAATTTTAGAAGTTTGTCTTGGAACATCTAAAAATTAGTTTAAGATTTTTATGCAAATTTGTTGTCTAAGTTGACTTAGTTTTGATCAGAGGACAGTCCAAATCATAACTTAAGAGAACCCTTTTGATTATTCAATATGAGATAGTTTCACTAGTCCTTACTACCTCGTTGATTATTTATCATATGTTTCTTGCAAGGCGCAATAGGCCGAGTTTGTCTAATCGATTGAATAAATGGGATTTCATCAAGCTTTCTCTGTTGAGGTGACTGAATTTCATGCTTAGTAGTTGACTTAAGACCTGTAGGTACTTTTGGTTGAATGCCCTTTTGATTTGTACCGAAAGCATTTGAGTTGTTCGAGGTTATTTTAAGTGATAGCTTAAATACCCTCTAAATCCTCTTGAGGCTTTAAAGAACTCACTAAAGGTGCTTTCTTCCTACGTGACGATGGCAATGGAGTAATTTTGGAGCAGTACATTTTGGAGTTGAAGTAGTAATCAATCGGATCAAAGTTGACAGCAGTCTCAGGACTCTGCCACCTGTTCTCAGTCAAGCGGTTGCTCGCTTGAGGCAAGTTACAGATTAAAGGTAGCATCTCAGGCTTCTTTGGTCTGGGCTTGGATTTACTGTAGATTTAGAAAGAAATTACTGGTTTCTTTTAGTGCTGAAGGATCCTTCCAACGGGAAGCTTGGCTTTTGGGAAATAACTTTGTTTGAATTTTTACTTAGCAATTTAGTGAAAGCATATTTTCTTTCAGTATAGCCTTGATATTTTGAGAGTGATTCTGGCACTTCGGTTAAATATTTCGTAATATTCAAATCTTTCATTGTAGAATCAGAAGTGTATCTAAAATTTATGTGAAGAAATGTTATACAAATATTTTACCAAAAGTCAAAGTTCTATAATCACAGAATTACCTCTTTCCATAATTTTGGGCAGATAACTGAGTTCAGAGATTTTGAAAATCAGTTGAGTAATTAACCTTCATATTTCTCCTCGCTTGGGGGTTGAACTTATTATTTCTGCTGATCATTAATCGATTCTCTATGTTGGAAGTCAGCTTGCTAGATTTAGATACCCTTTACATCAAAATCCGTAGAAAACTCTTAGTAGAAGCACAGTATGCTGAAATTTACTTATGAAAACCCTTTCCTTTTTATGCAAACTTTTTAGCCTGTGTCTGCTTACCTTCCATATTATGCACTAAATTTATTTCAATGAAAATACTTAAAATGGGGTTTTGGGGTTTTGGGGTTTTGGGGTTTTGGGG